CCAAGAAACTATGGATCTTAGAGACGTTATTGGGTTGCTTCCAGTTCAGAATATACTTCACTTTACTCGGATCTACCAGGATACCCTTAGTAGAAACGATATGTCCAAGAAAAGTCACTTCGTTGAGCCAGAACTCACACTTACTCAATTTGGCATATAATTTATTTTCCCTTAGAGTCTGTAGAACAATCCTTAAATGTTCATCATGTTCTACTTCAGTTCGAGAATACACTAGTATATCATCAATGAACACAACTACAAACTGGTCCAAGTAAGGTCGAAACACCTGATTCATCAGTTCCATAAAAGTAGCAGGGGCATTAGTTAACCCGAATGACATCACTAAAAACTCATAATGCCTATACTGAGTACGGAAAGTAGTGTTTGGGATATCAGAATCTTTCACCTTGAGTTGATGATAACCAAACCTCAAGTCTATCTTTGAAAAGATAAAGCCTCTCAAAATTGGTCAAACATATCATCGATCCTGGGCAGAGGATATTTGTTTTTAACCATGAGCTTGTTCAGTTTCCTATAATCAATATAGAGTCTCAATGTCCCATCTTTCTTCTTGACAAAGAGAACTGGGGCTCTCCACGGTGATACACTGGGTCGAATAAATCTTATATCTAACAACTCATGGAGTTGGACTTTCAGTTCCTTAAGCTCTTTTGGGGCCATACGGTAATGAGCCACCGAAACTGGGGTGGAATCAGAATATACTTCAATCTTAAACTCAACTTCTCTATCCGTGGTAATCCATGCAACTCTTCAGGAAAAACATCAGGAAATTCCTTAACAATCCATACGCCTTCAATGTTAGATCGGGAACTCCTAGTGTCCAAAATATAAGCAATAAATACCTCGGAACCCTTCATGATCATCCTCTCAGCTACCAATGACAACACAACATTCGTCCAAAATCCACGACGTTCCCCGATCATTACAATCTTTCGATTATTCAAAGTCTTCAGAACACTCTCTTGGTCTCACAATCGAGATTAACCCGATGCTTGTTCAACCAATCCGTGTTAAGTTAAACTCCTCCAAAGGTAACTCCATTAGGACGACCAAAAATATTTTCCCATGGATCTCTATAGGACACCCTTTATAAATACGATCTAACTCTATGTACTGACTTACGAAACTCTAAACTGTCACCAAACTCTTAATATTATAAACCATGATATTAAGACCCTCAAAAACGAAACTACTCCAATAGCTACCAAAAACTTCAAAATCTTAACAACAGACATATTACCAGGGACTCTAACAGCTCTCCTAAACATGCAAAAGACAACCCTATTAATGGCATCCTCATCCATATTAGTTTCCTTGTCCTCAGTGACAATAGCGTCTCTCGCAGAGTAACCGGATCATCTCTAGAAATAGACGGATATATATATGAGACAGAATGATCTCTAGGTGAAATAGGATCATCTATCAATAGAATATCGAGTCACTCACCCTTGACCACGGCCACAACTTGGCCTACGACCTCTAGTTGCACTCATCGAATAAATATATAAGACTATACATAAAGATTTTGAACATAAGTTAGACTAGCATCAGGGATTTCGAATATATTTAAAACTCTTAAATAAGGTGACACGGTTTTCTAAAAATATCATAAAAATTCAGATTTTTGGACTCATTCACAGTCCGAGTGTTTAAAACCGAAAGCTCTGATACCACCAAGTGTAACCCCTAGACCAAACCTGGACTTTAGCTAAGCAGTCACATATCGCATTCAAAATTTTATTTCATATTTAAAACAACGTTAAAATCTATAAGAAATATTCATATGATAAACATATATGTATACATATGTTAGAAAATTATATAAAACATATACATATCAAATTACAGCAGAAAACTATATAAAACATTTACGAAACAAATATCGGTAATACAGATATATGAAGATGGTAGCAAAACACATGTTACAAAAATATAACCGAAAAGTATATAGAAATTTACAGTGGTACAAAATTAGGAGAAGTCAGCCATCATGATGCGAAGTCTGCTATTTTCTGAAAATGTTAAAATTTACGGAATGAGCTAAAAATCTCAGTGTGCTCCTTACGGTGTATAAAAACATATAGATAAAATATTTCACTATAATCAGTTTATCAAACATGTTTTAAAAACATGAACACTACCCCCGTCCGATCACCAAAATGTGCAGGTTCTCCAGAACCATACACCCACATGTACACCCAGTAAGGGCTTACCCTGTGCAAAAAGCAAATGAGCTTTCTATAAGGTATTATCCTGTGCACAAAGCAAAGGAGCCTGCAGTAAGGACTTACCCTGAGCACAAAGTCAAAGAGCCTGCGGTAAGGACTTACCCTGAGTACAATGTCGAGGAGCCTACGGAAAGAGGTAAGCTCTTACAAGTCATAGACTAGGCTTGAGATACTTCCTCCAATAAAACTCCCAATGATAGAAATAACATGTATGTAGTCGAATGAAAATTGTAGTTTAATCCATTAAAACATGAAAAATATTTCATTTTCAAAAATAAAATACGAAAATACGGTAATCCAGAGGTCATAGAAATATAAAGTAAATCAGATATCAGATAAAATGTGTTCAGAAAATCAGGTATTGTGTAGTAAAAATATTTAATATTATCAGAAATCTCAAATAGTTCAGACAAATAGTTGAAAATAGTAATCTAACACCAACAAGAAACACACTTGTATCGGTCTGAGTAGTCTAATAGGGAAGTCTACTACTGAGTCTGTCAATCACGATCAGCGGCAGCGCTAGATCTTACGAATCAGAAAATCCCTATCGGAATCCTACGGAAACCTACGGGTAACTCTCGTAGAACACGAATCGAGTAGGTCTGATGGACGAAAAACACCGAATCTAACTGACCCTCAGTCAGGTGAAACACGAGTACCTTCATAAAAATAGATTCTTGGATCAATTTCATAACAAAATCTCAAATAAATAAGCAAAAATGCTAAAAATACTAAGTATTTTTGGGTTAATGAGCTCGATTCGGGGCTTTCGAGTCAGAATTTGGCTAAATGGACTTCGGAATCGGACTTAAAACATCGAAAAACATTAAATATGACTTTTTGAAAATTTTGACTTTTTGGTTAAAGTCAATGGTCAGTCAATGGTCAATGGAAGGACCGAGTTAGATTGGGTTGGGCAGGAGGGTCTGGTTAGACACGGGTCGGGTCAGATTGCCCTATTTCCAAGAGTCCACCAAGCGGTTGACTTTCCCCACGCACAGGGGTGGCACGTGGGGGCGCTTACGGGGCTTTACAAGGTCGGAAAAATTCCAAAAAAAAATCCTAAGTGTGTTTTAAGGGGTTTTAGACACTTGCCAAACTCGGTTCACAACGGTGAACGGCGGAGAGCTCGATTTTGAAACGTCGAAAACTTGATATTCCTCACCCCTCGCATGCCGGCGGCAACGGAGATAAGAAGGATACTGGTGGACTCGGGACGATGCAAGAAACAAAATGGTGAGGAAGATGTCGAAAACGGAGCAACGATCGGCGATGAAACGCCGGTCAAATATTTGTTTTTAAAAGAGAAAAATATTAAAGAGAGAGAAAATAAAATAAATTAAAAATTTTCCTTATTTGGGGTTATATATAAAAAAATGGAAAATCATGCCATAGGTCCTCCATATTTAGTTGCTTTCTGAATTTGGATCCAAATTTAATCAAAATTTCACTTTGGTCTCTGAATTAAATCAAAATTCAATTTAGTCCTCAAAATTTTTTAAGAGAATTTTAGGCTCTATTTTGGGGTTGTGACACGTATACTCGTAAAGATGGAGTGGAAAACAATTTTTTTTATAAATCTAGTATAAGATAGTATTTGTCCAACGATATTCTTAACCTTTTTATATTAAAGGTCCGTACCTCTGGTATTTTTAGTGTTCAAACCTAAAACCTCAAAAAAAAACAACAGGAATTCATTTGTCAATGAGGTAGTTGGGGTTCGTACAGTGGAAAACAATTTAAATATAAAAACATATATATTAAATTTTATTACACACGAAGTAAATAAAATATTTTATATAACATATATAAATTTATTTAATAAGTTATTTTGAATGAAATGGTAATTGATTTATATTTGTAATTCATTATTTTAGTGTTCAATTTTTAATTTAATTTATTTATATAATATTTTAAAAATAATAGATAAAAATAGTTTTATGATAATATCACTATTAACATTTAAATAATAGATTTTCAATATTTTCAAAATTGATTTGATATTCAATTGTCTTTATGAAATTTAAATTATATTCAATTGTCTTGATTAATTAGTGATATTAACTCAATCACAATTTAAATTAATAATATATTTAGTGATTTTTAACTTGATTCGTGAAAATAAAAAAATGATTTTTTTATACAGATGATGAGGAACCAAACATAAACTAAGGGGTCATTTGTTTACTGTTGAATGTTGAACCGTTTAGCATTCAGCGTGTTTGATTTTCACCTCTGAATGAAACAACAAAACACTGCTGAATGATTCAACATTAAAGTACATTCTGAATCATTAAGCATCTGATATTTTACCATAATACCTATTTTTTCACATATCTTATTAAACAATTATATTTTATAATATAATAAATTATTATGAAAGTAAAAATGAAAATATTCATAATTTAGATTGTACATTCAGAACTATTATCAAACAATATGTCACATTCAGAGTCAATTCATACAGAGCCTTTGAATCATTCAGGTCATTGAATCATTTAGCGCTTAATCATTTTATTTTATCCTAAAAATTCCAGCAATTTATCATCGAATAGAAATTTATTAAGCCGTGACCATAAATTCCAACAAAGCATCGGAAATAATATATCCCAGTTTTGGCTATTATTCGCAAAGAAAAAACTTTAAAAATAAAGTAAAATATATTTTTGACCCCTAATTTTACCAATATAATTATTTTAGGCCTTAAAATTATATTACATTCGTTTTGGTCTATATTTTCGTTTTTTCTGCCTTTATTTTCTTTGATTTATTTGTTGTTTGGATTTTTTCTCTCTTAATAATTGAATTGTAATCTTTAAAAAACATAATCAATTAACTAAAATAATAATTTTTTATTAATATGAAGTAAGTATTAAATAATATTTGTTCAAAAATAACTCTCAACTATTTGACATTGAACGCTCAGACCCATAATATTTATGATGTCCGAATTCGAGATCTCAATAAATAACAACAATAATTGTACCACCGATATCGTTTGATTCATGCACTAAATTAATAATTGAGTTACCTAAAATGTAAATATACCTATAAAATTATACTACCAACTTTATAAAACGTCCATTTCATTGACTTAGCTTTCCACTAACCCCTTTTCCCAAATTATCATGTGATCCGTGAGATGTCGTATTCGCATAGCAGCCGTCAATCTACCGGCACTCGCACGCGTCAAGTCGTCTGCCCTTCTTCATTACATTCTCGACCTTAGCCTATAAACCTAGCAACCCATATTTGAATTCTCTGGTCAAAAGAAGGAAACTCAGTGTACACGTTTTTTTTTCTTCTTTTCGTTTTAAATCTGTGAAGGAAAATGGGAAGTGAAGCAGGGATTGTGAGGAAACCAAGATTTCTCGGCCTCCATGGATTTAGAACAACTGGAGCGATCCTCAAGAAACAGATAGACACCAAATGGCCTAAATCGGTATTGGATAAGATTGATATTGTTTACCCAGATGCGCCTTTCCCATCTCAGGGGAAATCCGAGGTTGAAGGGATCTTCGATCCTCCTTATTACGAGTGGTTTCAGTTCAATAAGGTAAAAATCAAATAACAATCACACGTTTTTTCCCCCTTAAATTTTCTTATTGTGAGTTTTTCAAATGAATACAAACATGGGTTTACCTTTCTTATTTTTTTGATATCGTAGGATTTTACGAGTTACACAAATTTCGACGAATGTCTTGCTTATATCGAAGATATCGTAATTAAACAAGGACCTTTCGATGGTCTCCTCGGATTTTCGCAGGTTTGTTCTGTTTGGTTGCCGAGAAATTTGAAGGAATCCTTTTATGTTCAATATATGTTCTATTCATCCAAACATCAAATTGTTTCTAATCTATTTGAATAATCATCTAGGGAGCCATCTTGTCGGGTGGGTTGCCGGGATTGCAAGCGAAGGTGCGTTGAAACTGCTCATTCTGTTTTTCAGTTTTATTTTTAATATTTAAAATTTCGGATCATTTTAAATATTATTTTTTATATTACTTTTTAATTTTGACTTTTCAAAGATAAATTGTATTTTTTTAAACATTTTTCTATATATATTTTTTAATTAATTTTTCTAAAAAATTAAATTTCAAATAAATAATTGTTTTTATTTAATATTTATAAGTCATTTTAATTTATATTTAATGAACGTGGGTGGCTTTGGGCCATTATTGCAGGGTGTGGCTCTTACAAAAGTTCCCAGGTTGAAGTATCTGATAATAGTTGGAGGGGCTAAATTCAGGAACGAATCGGTGACACAAAATGCTTATTCTTCCCCCATTCAGTGCCCATCTGTTCATTTTTTAGGTACAATAAATACCCTTTTACTCTTCTTATATCTTCTCCGGTCCTTTATTTCCCAAAAACTTCGGAAATTTAATTGCACTAAACGATGTTGATATTTTATAATAATATCTATTTAATTTTTCAATCTAGAAAAAAGTAATATACTAAATAGTTTTTTTAAATATTATAAAAGTAATTTACTAATTTAACAAAACTAAAATGATTTCAAATTTTAAAATTATACGTTTTTCGCGTGTTTATACATATATTGAAATGTATGCTGGTCGTATTTGTTTATGTTATGAAGAATCATAACTCATATTATATATGTGAATATGTTAAACATGTATGAACATAGTTTGCAAATAACAACAAAATATGATTGTGATCCATTTTCCTCATAGGTTGTATTGATTTATATCACATGTTTTAACTGTTTAATTGAATCTTTAAAGTTAGGTTTGGTTTTTGAGGCGGCTGTTGTTATAGATCATAAAAGGCTAAACTATACTGGTAGTTTCATTTGTTTTTTGTCTGATTGAATTTGATCATTGATTGCAAAATTAAGTGTGTTTGGTCCTTACATTATTATTTCGTTCGGTTTTAGTTCGGTCATTAATTTTCGTTAACCCCTTAACGAAAGTGTTACGTGGTAATTTAAATTTTTTAATTGTCATATAACACTTTTGTTAAGTGGTTAATGAAAATTAACGAAAAGGATTAAAACAGAACAAAGCGATAATGTAAGGAATCAAACACAATTTTAGAACCGATAGCCAAATTCTATTGGAACGAGAATAAATGTAACCATCATACAATTTATCCATCATAAAAATGCTAAAACAATTATATACAGTTAACCATAATTTAATTTGGTTGGTTTGTGTGAAAATTCAATAAATTAATTAATTTAAATCGTGTATTCAATTGCTTATTAGTTTGTTCTCTTTTTTTTTACTTTTTAATTTAAGTACTATATATTTTATATTAAAACCGATACCTATTTTTTAAAAATAAATTAAATATAATTTAATAATTAAACTTATTCTCAATTTTACAAACATATATGGTATATATGTATGCAGGGGAGACTGATTTCCTGAAACCTTACGGATTGGAGCTGTTGGAATCGTGTGTGGATCCTGTTGTCATTCAGCATCCAAAGGGTCACACTATTCCCAGATTTGGTAGGCTTTATATTTCTATTTTGATCCAGCCTTATACGGGAAATACTCACGTGCGGCGCCTAAGTATGCGGTTAAAATAAGGTGGTATCAATTTATTATTATTTTAAATAATAAAACCGGTAAAAAAATAATCGAAAACATCATTTTGTTGACCGATTATAATTACCTATATAGGTAAATTTGATAAAAAAAATTTGATTAAAAAATGATGTTTTAGGTAATATTTTATTGAAAATATCATTTTTTAACTGAATTTTTTTATCGTATTTATTTATATAGATAATTAGAATCGGTCAAAAATGATATTTTCGATTTTTTTTAATTTTATTATTTAAATAATAATAAAATCAATATCATCTTATTTTAATCATATACTAAGACGTCGTACAGCAGAACTGCCTGTCTTATACTCTTCGTCTAGAATTAATAATATATTCTATTATGTATCAATGTTACATCACCTGGCTTGTTAACGTGATTGATGAAATCTTTTTCTATTTAATAAATGTTCAGATGAAAAGGGATTAGAGATGATCTGAGCTTTCTGGTGAAGATTCAAGAAGATATTTTGTCTCAAAATCAAGGAAAGGATTTTTGCCATAAAGAGGAACAGAATAGCCTAGAAGCATAATATATAGTTAATATAGTATTACTGTATACATTAAAATATATTTAATAAATTTAGTTTAGCGTTATTGGAAATGTTGACTAATAATAATGTAATAAGTCTAAGTCATGAAGAAATATTAAAAAATTAAGCAACCGACAAACTTAACTTGTCGGTTCGTGTCGTTCCAAATTAAAAATGTATCGATCCAAAATGATATAACAGGTAAAACTATGACAAAATCGGTATTGAAATGATAAAACCGGTAAAGGGGTACCGGATATATTTAAAGTTTCGGTACTTTAATATAAGGATCGACATTTCGTTAATTTAAAAGAGAAGCAGTTTTAGCGCCTATAAAGTGTCGTTACTTTAAAAAAATGTATCGATTCACAACGATATAACAGGTAAAAATATGATAAAACAGGTATCAAAATGATGAAACCTGTAAAACGCTACCGGATATATTGAAAGTGTTGATACTTTATATAAGGATTGACACTTTGTGAATTTAAAAGAGAAGCAGTTTTAGAGCTTATAAAGTGTCGATACTTTAAAAAAAATGTATCTATCCACAACGATATAACAGGTAAAATTATGATAAAACCGGTATCAAAATGATAAAACCGGTAAAACGCTACCATATATATTGAAAGTGTCGATACTTTCGTAAGTACGTGTAATAAATTATCGATACTTTCAAAGAAATACGTAATTATCCTTCCGAAAGTATCGACACTTGACATAAAAGTATCGACACTTTTGTATTTGTATCGATTAAATATAAATAACATATACGATGAAAATATAAAGGCCATAGCTAAATATCCTCTGAAAATATATAGAACGGACGAGTTTTTGAAATCGAAGCGTAATTGTTGCTGCATTTCAGAAGGCGTTTCTAAAGCGAAGTTTGTTTGTTTGTTGTTGCAGTCGAATCGAAAAGTATGTTGTCGAAATCCTAGGTTTTTATTATTACAATAATCGCAAATAGGGTTTTTATGTGTTGTTTGGGGTTTTGGAGTAAAGAAGCATTTGAGACCGATTGCAGGTAGAAAGTGATATTCAAGGTAAAATATAAATGTCGATACTTTTATTAAATATTATAGGTAGAAAATGATATTATAGGTTGTATAAATGTGCCGATATATTTTGTAGTGGCCATTCAAATTCTTTTGAAGAAAATCGTTTTACCACAAGAGTATTTATCTATATTTGTATATTGAATAAAGTGTATGTAACAAAATAATTTGATTTGCGTAAACTGATATATGAAGGAAAAATGGAGTCAATGAGTTGGAAAATTGTTGGTTGCGCAGATGACTTTGAAATTGAGGCCAAGACTCGAAAGCAACCAAAGGGTGGATATATGTACTTCTAGTAAGTATCAATATCTTTTTGTTATTATTGTTGAAATGGTAATTGGATTAAAGTATCGATAAACTTTAAATTGATTACAAATTTTAAATGTTGACAGTATGGCCGAATGCAAAAGGATGAAGGAAGATGGCACACAGAGCGGTTCGGTATGTAAAATGAAATTGACATTGAGTATTATTTAGTGTTAATGTATTAATTAAGAAACGTTTATGTTTAATATTAGGTGACAAAAGATGTGAGGTCCAAATGGAATTCGATGAGTGATGCTGAAAAGGAACCTTACATCACACAGTCAAGGAATGATAGTAAAGAATACAAAGAACGGAGGAGAGCACATGAAAATAAGGTATTCATTAAACTTGTAAATACGTTGATACAAAATATATAAGAACTATAACATTATATATTGTTAAAAATGTAGGAAGTGTCGACAAGATGCAGCATTAAAAGGGTGAATTCATTAATTAAACACCTTAAGGAGAAGGGTCAGTTGAATGTGCTGGGAGAAATAGGTTTTGGATCATTGGTAGGAGTAAGGGATCGACCTATTCGGAGGGAATTGTGTCGATCCTTGATGGCGCAATTTGATGTCAGACAATGTATTGCTAAGTATGGTGATTTTTCATTTCCTCTCGGGATCTCATGTGTTGCAGCCGTATTGGGGGTAGAAAATGAAGGCAAAAGTGTTGTAGAAGTCTGTAAGAGTAAGGACTGGAAAGCACTTACCTCCAAATATGGTTTGAAGCAGAAGGTGACATATGTTGAAATTGAAGAGGAAATAAAAAGTGGATCTTACGGGGGGATGAGCTGAAGGCCAGAGTTCTATTATACCTTGTCGGTATCTTTCTTTCTCCAACGGGTGATACGTCAACGAACAAGGAATATATGAAGCTCATTTGCGATGAAGGCTTGAAGGGTGAATTCAATTGGGCTGAATATATCCATTCGAGATTGATTGAATCAATAATCACCTTTAAAAAGGGCAGCCAGAGATACCTCAAAGGGTGCATAGCAATCTTAGAGGTAAATGAGTTGAAGAACTTTTTTTGTGTTTTTATATAAAATGATAGTATAATTATTATATAAAAATATAAATTTATTATAAATGCAGGTTGCACTGTTCGATTTTTGGTCGGGCTGTGAGGCAGTGTCGGCTTATGAAAGAACCGGAGTGGCACGCATCCGTGCAAGGGGGAATGAAGAGGTGGTTAGAGTGATGGTGAAGTTGAAGTTGGATAGAGCGAAGAAGCAACAAAGGGTAATAAATGTAATTAAATAATATTAAGAATATAATCAATGTCTTAATATTGTAATTTAATTTTGAAGGTTATTGGCAAGGATGTAGAGGAGGTAGTGGAGGCAGAGGAGAAGAAATGAGAGATGGTTGTATTGGGGGATGACAGTGAGGGGTACGACGGTGAGGGAAAACAGAGTCGAAGAGAGTCGAAGATACACTTGAGAGAGTCGAAGATACACTTGAGAGGCATAAGGGGGTAGTGGAAGGAAAAATAGATGGAGTGGTGAAAGAAGTAGATGTGTTAAGGGGTGATCTTAAGATGGTGACGGGTGAAAAATTTGAGGGAGTGGTGAAGGAGGTTGTGAAATTGTGGAGTGAACTTACGATGGTGAAGGGGGTGGTTGATAAATACTTGGATGAAGGAGATCAATTGAAGGGTGAAATAAAAGAGATGAAGAGATATGTAGAGAAAAAATACGATGAACTGAAAAAATATGAAAAAGAAAAGAGGGAGGAGGAAGAAGAAGAGATGGAAGAAATGAGGAGGAAGGAAGTCGACGTCATTTATACACTGGAGGGTGTTATAGCAGCATATTTAGATTCGGAATGTCCTGCACCCCAGAAGAAGAAGCAGAAGGTAAGTTGAATAAAAGAAAACTTAATTTGATCTTTATTATATTGTTGTGACAAAAATTTGTATGCAAAATTGTAGGTTGAAAAAGCGGATATTCCAAGCGAAATTGATGACATCGAAGCTACAATTTGTGATTATTTATGGAATAGTGAGTTAGAATCGGGGTAAGTGAAATATATTGCTTTGTGAGTGATATTTAAATATTTCATGACAACATATTAATCCTAATGATTCATACAGATATTTTGTAATCTCAATGGGAAATCAATTCGCTACTGTATACGACGTTGCAACGTTGAAGCCTACGGAATGGGTTGGCGGTGTGGTAAGTAGAAAGTAGAAAATGTTAAAACTTATTGAATATGTTCTGATTGTGTAATTAATTTTGTTAGGTTATTGATTTGATCGCCTGGACAGTATGCTACGATTCTCAAAAGTCACTCCGGAGGATTGGCTACCTTCCATACCACTTAGCGGTGAGTTAAATTAATAAATGGAGATAAGTAGTGTTATAGACGGTAAATTAATAATGTTTGTTGCGTAATTGCAGTATCAGGCGTTGGATGCCAACAGAAAAGAAAGTGTTGAGAGTATTGCTACCTTCTGGGGTCCCATATTGGATAACTATGTGAAATTCACCGACTATGAGAAGGTAAGACACCATACCAATTGCAAATGATGTTTTCGGATATAGAATGTTGAATTTTGTCAAATTGGGTGTGAAATTTGTTGCAGATCATGATCACAATAAACTACCATAATTCACATTGGTATCTGTTGGTGTTGGATATGGTAGATCGTATTGCAACAATATATGATAGTATGTTTACATCTGTAGCAGCTAAACAGAGAGTGAAGGATGCTAAGAGATTGGTATGTATGTATGTATGAAAGGACATTATGTAAATTATAATGCATAATTTTTTGGATCATAACTTCTTTTTTAATGCAGATTAAAATATTAGATTTTTATAATAAGAAACGCATTTGGGTTGAATACTGTGGATCTCTAGGAAAGTTTCCCTTGAAAAATTTCAAATTTATCGAGTATAAGAAGAATAAGCAATTGAATGGGTATGAGATGTTATCATAAATAGAAAGCTTAATTTATGCAGGATTCATCATAATTGACATGTGTGGTTTTCAAATTTTGTAATAGACATGATTGTGGCATGTATGTGATGATGTGGATGGAATCGATCGGTTCTACAGGGGCAACTAGTGATTTTGTAGCTGGAAAGAAAAATTCGTTTGTGGTAAAATTGTTAAAATTCGTAGATTGAATGTTGTAGTTTACAATACTTAACGTTCTGACAATTTGAATATAGGTTGTTGGAGAGTGGGATCGATCGCGAATATTAAACGATCTCGTAAGCCACAATCAAAATCAACGAAGACAGGAGATAACAAAAGCTGCCATGAGACAAAAGAATAACAAAAGGGTGCAATGATGTAAATGTTAGGTTAATTTTGTGTAAGATTTATAATTTTGTATACGATTTATAATTTTGTATGTGAATGTAATTATGAATGAGATGAGAAAAGCTAGCAGTAGGTTGTTGTACATGTTTCTTATACACATTAAGAGTCATGTTGATACTTACGATATATGGAGATTGTTGTCTGTATTATACCAAATGTCATCATAATTGTCATCATGTGCGAGACTGAATAGCCATTCCATATTGAGGGTATGTACAATAACTACAAAATTAACTTTAAAGTAAAAGGTAAATTTACAATATGGCAAACAGGGTGCAACCATAAAGTGTCGATCCCAGAAACATCGAAACCCATAAGTATAATGTAATAGGTAATTTTTCAATCTAACCGGTATAAGTATACCAGTTTTATGAGAGATTAGGTGTAACATATGTATCGACACTTTTTAATTTTGTGTCGATACCATTGGTCCAGAATGAATGGCAAACAGGGTGCAACCATAAAGTGTCGATACATATATAAAAAGTGTCGATCCAGAAACATCGAAACCCATAAGTATAATGTAATAGGTAATTTTTCAATCTAACCGGTATAAGTATACCGGTTTTATGAGAGATTAGGTATATAATATGTATCGACACTTTTTAATTTTGTGTCGATACTATTGGTCCAGAATGAATGACAAACAGGGTGCAACCATAAAGTGTCGATCCATATATAAAAGGTGTCGATCACAGAAACATCGAAACCCATAAGTATAATGTAATAGGTAATTTTTCAATCTAACCGGTATAAGTGTACCGATTTTATAACAGATTAGGTATATAATATGTATCGACACTTTTTAATTTTGTGTCGATACTATTGGTCCAGAATGAATGGCAAACAGGGTGCAACCATAAAGTGTCGATCCATATATAAAAGGTGTCAATCCCAGAAACATCGAAACCCATAAGTATAATGTAATAGGTAATTTTTCAATCTAACCGGTATAAGTATACCAGTTTTATGAGAGAATAGGTGTAATATATGTATCGACACTTTTTAATTTTGTGTCGATACCATTGGTCCAGAATGAATGGAAAACAGGGTGCAACCATAAAGTGTCGATACATATATAAAAAGTGTCGATCCCAGAAACATCGAAACCCATAAGTATAATGTAATAGGTAATTTTTCAATCTAACCGGTATAAGTATATCGGTTTTATGAGAGATTAGGTATATAATATGTATCGACACTTTTTAATTTTGTGTCGATACTATTGGTCCAGAATGAATGGCAAACATGGTGCAACCATAAAGTGTCGATACATATATAAAAAGTGTCGATCCCAGAAACATCGAAACTCATAAGTATAATGTAATAGGTAATTTTTCAATCTAACCGGTATAAGTATACCGGTTTTATGAGAGATTAGGTATATAATATGTATCGACACTTTTTAATTTTGTGTCGATACTATTGGTCCAGAATGAATGGCAAACAGGGTGCAACCATAAAGTGTCGATCCATATATAAAAGGTGTCGATCCCAAAAACATCGAAACCCATAAGTATAATGTAATAGGTAATTTTTCAATCTAACCAGTATAAGTATACCGGTTTTATGAGAGAATAGGTGTAATATATGTATCGACACTTTTTAATTTTGTGTCGATACTATTGGTCCAGAATGAATGGCAAACAGGGTTCAACCATAAAGTGTCGATCCATATATAAAAAGTGTCGATCTTAGAAACATCGAAACCCATAAGTATAATGTAATAGGTAATTTTTCAATCTAACCGGTATAAGTATACCATTTTTATGAGATAATAGGTGTAATATATGTATCGACAGTTTTTAATTTTGTGTCGATACTAATTTAAATATCGAGTGTTTTCCCCCGTTCATTATATATAGTATACAAACTCTAAATCGACAAACCCTAAACCTAAAGACAAGCAGGCAGAAGAGAACTCTTCCTCTCCGAAAAATACTAGCGTTATCATAACAGTGACGATCAGATATTCAGGTAAATGTATCGATATTTTATGGGTTTGATTGATTTATATATTGGAGTTTTTTTCCTGAATGTGTTTGTGTTCCATTGTAATAGCATCCAACCAAAATGGCTCCAAAACGTCAGCGTCAGAAGCGTGGTCTTTCTCAATGCTCTTCTCAACCCAGTTCTTCTCAACCACATCCTCCTTTTGAAATAAACGATTCTTCTGAGGAAATCAGGTCCTTCGAAACTCTGAACTTTAGATCTAATATGGAGAAACAAAGATGGCAGACGAGTTTTAAAGTAAAGAAGATTCGTCCCGAACGTGTCATTGACCTGGGTTTCTTGTTTGATGATAAATATGCATTTAGTTTTAAATCCATATTTACATCTTGGTGTTGGCTTGAATTCCTTGGTGTAGAACCAAAATATTACCCTAAACTAGTTAGAGTCTTCTACAACAATGCTTCCTTACAGCACGAGCCTAATAAGACTAATATAATAGGAATTAATACACATGTCATGGGGAAGGATATATATATATCTCCAGAAACTATTGCGGAGGGTTTAGGTGTAGCGAATAAAGGGGATTCAGATGAAAATGATGTAGATTGGTCTACAATTAAACGGGTTGCTAGAAATAGCCCAATTCACCTAGATGTAGAGTCGAGAGTGTTCCACAAAATGCTCACATAGTATATCCGGCCTAGTGGGGGAAAACATTCAACTCTTCGAGACAGCGATTATTGGTGGATAGCAAAGTATAAATCCAAATCCAAAACGGCTCCAAACATTGCTAAACTCATATTTAATACAATTGTATATATGGTCACAAAGGGAGCAACAATTTCAACTTCACTACCATATGGATGTGTCATCACCCATCTGTTGAAGAAGAAAGAAATTGATTTTTCGCATGACACCCCTGTTCGATTAACCCGCAAGATTGACATGTTATTTATTAAAAAAGCGAGATATGATTTTGTTGAAAAACTCGGTTGGAAGCGTGTCAAGGAGGTCGGATTAGATCAAGAGAGGGAGGAAATGGACCCCATTGGCCATGAAGAAGAGCAACCAATTGGAGACGCAATGATGGAAGAAGCTCCAGAAGCTCCAGTTGCAGAGGATGTCACAATTAAGACCGTGATGGAATACATGGTCAATTTTCGGGAGCATATTGATTCCCTTGTGAGTGGAATGCGAGCCGATATTTCATCATTGTGCGATGAAGTCTCCATGTTGCGTGACGAATTACGTCAACGACATCAAACGAGTTAGGTAATTCATTATTTATGTTTCTAAACATTTACACGTTCTGAAATGTATTTTATTTTCTTTTAACAGATGTGGACAACCAAGCGATCAATGAAGATGAAGCTGACGATGAAGATAACGATGATGATGATCCAAACAAGTATATCGTGTCTGCAATGCCGCCTTCAAGAAAACTTTTAATTTTTGATCTCAATGGTGTCCTTGCCTATATCCCAAGACTTTCTGCAGGTTTTAATTATATTCTTTTGTATCCATTATTTTAACATATAAGCGTATAACTTTAATCTCATTTTCTTCATGTTGTAGATGTTGTCCTCATAACAGGATTAT